AGCGTAAAAATGTTTTTGCAATATCTGGGACATTTTTTGATTTTCTTTTCAAATCGTGCCGTTTCCATTCACTCCTACTAATGTGTTATTTCAAAATGTGAATAGTCAAGCATCATGGAAACATGTTTAATGTCTTCACACATTTTTTAGGCTCTGGAAGCCGTTCTCACGATTCACAGGGCTGCTTTAGCTGCCTAGCTAATTGCTAACAAGCTAGCCATGCTCGTGGTGTTTCTATTTTCCCTGCAGCAGAGCTTCTACTACACTCTGACGTTTCATTCTGGACTTTACACAGTTCAGTCAGAGGAAGTAGGGGTGACCCGGTGCTTGAGTGGTTATGATTCACACCACATGGGCTCAGGTCTGGACTGGCTGGAGCTTTACTACATGTCATCCCCACATCGCCCTCCCATCTCTACTGCGCTATCAAACCAAAAAAAACTATACAGAATTACCAAAGAAGAGAAACAAAGCTGACACTTTTTCAAGAGTCAGACAGCAGCAATTTATTCGAATGACATTTGTTTGTGTGACTCCTGTCTGGTAACTTTCAGTGACCTGCTCTTCTTTGTGGGGCTCCAACACACAACGTTAAATCAAGACAGATGGTGCAACACAGCTTTCTGGACGTGATGTCTCCTTCCATTTCGGCTCTGTGTTTTCAGCACAAACAACAACATCACAACCTCAGGTCAAAGTTCACCGAAGTTAAACACAATGTGGAAAAGCAAACCATACGGCCTCTTTAGTTTTCTTCTCAAACTCCATCCCACACGTCTAGATATTGTACCAAGTGAACATTTGGCTTTGTCTGACCGCTGGAGTTGTGTTGTTCTTTTCTTCTTAGTCTGTTGTCAGTTCACCAGCCTCATGTCGACGATCTGACTGCGACGTCATTAACACTGCTGTGTATTTTAAAGCAACATGTTCTCAGCCACTAGTAATTTAGTTTTAACTGCTTTGTTCTAAGCCATGTGATTTTTCTTTATGCTTATTCCTCCACTTCCCTGCAAAAAAAACCCTTTTCCCCTCCAGAATGATTTATTCCCATACAGACAGCTGCTGTGTGTATATGCTTGTACAGCTCAATATTCTCTACATTATTTATGACGGCTTGCCTGAGCAGCAGCATTTCTGCGGCGATGACTCAGGGGGTTTCGGTACACCGCTCGGAGCTTTAAAGTGGTCTTGTCCCCATGACCCAGTCTCCGTCTTCATCTGCCCGACAGGAATAGAGATGAAGGGAGCCCCGGAATAGAAAACGCGGGTCATATCTGTTTATCTGGGATTAGACAGTTTTTTTTTTTTTCAAGTATCTATACAGTATTCCACCGAGCTCATCCGATTGCCTCGGAGGTCACAGAAATATGAGACTCCAACGACCAGAGTCTCGTGTTGCATGTCATTTTTTAATCAGACTTTTGCGTCCCCCCTCTCCTTCTTCGTCTTCCCTTTTCTCTCGTCTCCAAGGGGCCAGGCTGGCTTCTTTCTCACCTCTGATGTTTATTACACAAACATCACCTAGGATCAAATATTCATACTTTTTTTTTTTTTTTTTTCCTATTCGGAGAAGCCAAGTGTTAGTGAGAGATAACATGTAGAGGGAGTGGGAGGTGGGGAAAGAGGGGAGCTGCAGACTTGTTTATATGTCTTGATCTGACAGGATGAATAATTCAGCAAAGGGCTCCCTGGCACCCCAGGATGATATTAAAAGAATAGTTTAGGCAATAGGGTGGGGGGGGATAGGAGGAGGTGAAGTTAGGGCAACAATAAAGATGGGAGGCCTTGATTACGGAGAGCACTGTGAATTATTCAAACCTGTTTTCAAGCCCGCAAAAATAACACAGAAGTGTAAATTCTCCAGCAGGGGAAGCCGTGAATGCCAATATGGTTTTGGTGATTAGAGATTTGTCTGGCTCACTCTGGGATGGGAGATAGAGACAGACTGACAGCTTCCTTTTCCCCAGAAGCCTGAGAGGAATTCCTGCTTTTCTATTTGCCATCAGGCGGTTTCAAGTCTTCTTTCACAACTTTAACTTTTTTATTAATTCATTTTTTTGGGAGGCTTTCCCCAGACACTTGCAGTGAACAAATTGCATCGGGGGCAAAACTGATGTGTTGTTTACTCTGCAGTCTCACAGAGGTTTAATAAATTGACTCAGTCCCTCTTGGTCTCTGCCCTTTTGTTTCGAAAAAACATGCATCAGTCCCAATTTAGCAATAGAAATTCCCACAATGATGTGTTTAGCTGTCTGTAGGGAACAGATTTATTGTGCATCATCACTAGAGGTGTTATTAGACATATAAACTTTAAGTGAGCGTGTCGACTGGTGTGTTTTTTTCCCGATCCTATACCAATACTCTTGATTAATAGGCTAAACAAGGAGACCTGATGTTTGGAGCTGATGGACATTTGCAAGTAAAATGAAAATATCAAAAATTTAGATTTTACAAAAACTCTAAAATTCCAGTTTATGTTTTACATAAGTGTAATTAAAAGTTAAATTCTCAACATTTATCCTCGACTGTGGGCCGACTATTACTCATTATGTGTGTCATATATTGCCGTCAGCGGAATATTGCTTGAGACCACAGTGTCGAGAAAAAGAGGCTCATCTTGAATCAGTTAAAAGCAATAACTATGATAATAATCTAAAACATGCTGACTATCAGGTCTGATAATCAGCCAGGCGCAAATTCTGTCCACCCCTGCTTTAAGGCGCTTTAATCAATACTTTTACATAACCAGCGTGTGCTTTTATGTAGAAATAAAACCTCTCTTAGTGGCAGATCCACAGGATTGTCCGCCAACTCTGCAGCTCCTCTCTTTTAGTCGCTTTCAACTTGTTGTTTAGATTAGAAACTAGCCTGTGAACATAAGGAAGCTTTAGCAGCCAGATGTTTCCCTCAGAAGTAGGCGGATGGCAGCTCATATTCATCAGGTGTCAAGAAACTTTAAATCAATGCCAACGTTGCTTCATATCTACTCGCTGTGTAATAAGCATCTGTTCACTAACTTAAAGTGGAAAAAAAAAGTCAGTGCTTGTTTTCATGCCCAAAATTCTTCCAACTTTGGTGATTTTTCTCCCTGATTCTTCACTCTGGACACTTTTATTTTGAAGGCTTTCACAGTTGTACACGACAAATATATCGCTATAGCGACTGTACTAACTAAACTACAACTACACCCACTTTAAAAAGTGAAATCTGGTCAAATGGCCTCCATCCAGTGCGCTGTCATGGCCTTGGTGTTCAAGCTCTGGCTCACCATGTCTCTACTTAAAGGCATAGAAAAATCTCTCCAGAACACTTAAAGCTAATCAAATATGAAAAACTCCATGGGCACTGACTTAAGGATTTACAGGTCAAAATGTGTCAAGAATAGCTAAGTAATGACACTGAATGTGATGTGATGGGCTCGACCTAAAACCACATGAAACCACTTGAACAGCGTTACAATGACTGTACTTCCGTGTGAAGCAGCCTCTAACTACACTTTAAAATACAGTCATTAAATGCTTTTAAAATTCCCATTACGTAAAGTTCCCATGTCACCTTTGGTTTTCACCTTTCAGCAACTCTTGACTCTCTGGGGAGTCTGTCGACTCTTTAGAATATAGAACTGCTGCATGACTGCATCACCCGTTTTTGTTTCAACATCGCATATTTCACTTGAGGAATTCCATGTGAGACACACCCTAATACTCAACTCAGCTAAGCGGTTAAACAGCAATGGAAAGAGCCGTTATAATCATTTTTGGAGGCTCTAAAAAAACCATCAACCTCCCCGGAAAAGACTGTGGGAAGAAGAGGGAGCGGGACTCCGACTGGGGAATACTGGAATTCTTGGGCTGGACACTGTGGGAAGAGGACGTGGTGGGAGGAAGCTGGAGAACTCCCTGCCCTCTTTCCACTGGAGGGAAAACTCCTACAAAACGAGACCCACGAGTCCTGCTGCTGCTCCGTGTCCACTGCATGAGGCTTTTGTCTTCCCAACTGGCATCAGACACAGACGAACTGACTGAGTTCCTCCATGTTGTAATTACTGTTTGTTGAGAAACGATGTATCCCACGGTGCTGTGTCATTAGGATTAGCACTCGGCGTGGTGTTGCTCTCCACTCTCCAGTAGAAAAACACTCAATATCCAAGCTGTCACAAGCCGTTCTCTGCAGCTAAACAAAGGCTGGCTGCAGTAACTGCACCTAAATGGATTAATTCTTGCCAGCCAGCATAATCTGCTGCGCCGTGTTTGCATAGGGCGAAAAAACAAACACACAACACACCTGTGATCATACCAAGATGTGATGAAAAAGGCAAATACGCACAGTCGCAGTTTGAATTCATGATTTTGGAAATAAAAAAATGTGGCTCGCTGCCTAATTGGCTCAATTAGAGCTGGAGTTATGAAGTAAAAAGCCAGGCGCAAAGCCAGGAGGAGGCTGAACTACAAGAGGGCTCAAATTTCACCACAGAGGCGATTAATTTTAAAGGTGATCTGGCTTTCTGTGCACTCTGGGTCACACACCTTCAGGTTGGAAAAGGAACCTTCACGTGACAGGACAAAATAAATCATCATCCCATTCATTAAAACATTTAGTATGATTTAATACTCTCGATACGCAGCTGGGATGTTTTTGCAAAATAAAAAAAAAACAAGTAAAATTAAGATGTATTTTGTGTTGTTAACCTGTAACTTTGTGTCTGTGTTTAATCATTGAGATAAATGTTTGCTCGCTGCTCGTGTAATGGATGTGGGTTTTTATCATCCAGCTTACCAACTCTGCTTTCAAAATGTAGCTGAAAGTGCTGATTTGCATTTCGCTGCTCCCTCCTGTAGAGTTTTTTTTTTAATACAATTTTTACCCTCCTGTTATTTCACCACAGTGTTGGAGATTAATTTGACATCAGCAAAAATAAAAAAATTAAAGGGCTGAAATCTACTGTAGATGGAAATGACTAATTGTTGCTCTCCTCCTGTTGACCTCTTGCCTCTCTCCAGGTGTGCTGAGCCTGCCGGAGAGTTTGAACCTGCACCGGGACCAGCAGCGCTCGGGGCGGGGCAGCGAGGGTCACGGATACACCCAGGCCGAGCTCCGCACGCTGGAGCAGTCGCTGCTCGCAACCCGGGTGGGCAGCATCGCAGAGCTGAGTGAGTGTTTGCTCATCCGTTCACAGAACACACACTGAGAACAGACTTAGCAGCGGTTGGAAACAAAAGAAACTGATGCAGCCTGTTACTTCTAATTCTATAAACCTTGTTTTCAGCTATGTGGAAGCTGATCAGGTGTCATCATGCTACATAAGTATGAAATGTCCAATAAACGTCCAATTAGCAATCCCCAGAGAGCTTAGAGCTGATGAAAGAATCTCATATCGTTCCCTCAAGTGTCTCAGTCCAGCTCTTATAAATGCATAAGTAGTTTTCCAGGAAAATTGCCAACTTCAGAAGCCAGAAGATCTCCCAAATGTTGGCATTCAGCCGCTGTGGCCACGGCGGGAGAAACAGGAATGTGAACCCAGACTTTCTAAAGCTGAGTGATGCTCCGAAAGTCTTTGTTTGAACACAGTCAAATGAAAAACTCCCACAAAAATGCTGCTACTGTCCATCCGCGCTGGACTGAAAACAGCAGAGCGGCGTGCACTTCATGCAGGTTGCAACGATGACGTGGATGTGATCGGTGATGACTGTGCTGACTGATTTGGGTTTAGTAGGTGTCACCCTGTTAGAAGTTACAGCTGGCTGTGTGCGAGATAAGAGAGAACAAACAGGAAGTCAGGCTAATTGTTCATTTGTTTTTGTTTTTTAAGCACACTGTTCTGACAAGAGCTACGAGTTGTTAAATATTAAATTAGTAGTTATCTAAACTCTCTGATTCCAGCTCTTTAAACTAGAATGTTTTCTGACATTTTATAGATCAGCTAATAGGAGGGAGAAACAACAAAAAAGGTTTGTTGCAGCCCTAGCTCTGAATAAATTACAATTACTAGTGAGATGAGGTATGCTATAGCGTTAGAAAAAAGTCATTCATTTAAAGACTGAAGCTGTTTTACACTTCTGATGATAGAATTCAGTAAATTGAATCCTTGTATTGGATTTTAAATGCCATTAAAATACTTCAGTTTAAAGTTGCAAATTAAATACTGACATAAAATATTAGGATCTCAGGTTAGTGGCCCAGAATTTAGTGCTTGCTGAAGAGACGACTGCATAAAAGCTCTACGTTAAGTATACAGCGTATTATAAATGCAGCAGTAATTGTTATGCACATTAAAACCCATCGCTCAAGGACTTATTTCCATTCCTATTTGCCAAATAGCCCCATTAATGTGAAGGAATGCACACTCCCTGTCCCTGCTGGCTGTCACGGTGGTCTGAGGCCGACCCAGCATTATTCTGCTGTCCCCTCACCGCTCACCTCATCCATCTCTCCCCCCCTCCCTCACCCCCTGACACGCCGAAGCCAGCAACTGTTCTATTACAGCTGTTCTAACACCTGTTTATGAGTCCCGCCCGGGGACCTTTAAATCCAAGGTCACCGCCTCAGAGGCTTTTAACCTCAACTTGAAAGCATGAGCTCCACCTTTAGCTCTCCCACCTCCACCCCCCGTCCTCGTCCTTTTCACAGCCTCATATTGGATCATCCTCTCCCCCGCAGACATTTGCACAATGTGTGGCTGTGTGTTTGCGTCCATTTGTCCTGGATGAGTGTTTGCTTCGACCCCACAGGACATTATAAACCGGTAAATCAGTGCGCATCATTGATTGAAGCAGGAATTCAAGGTCTTGTCTTGAGGCTGGAGGCAGTTTGTGTAACATGCTGTCCCCCATCAACATCCATACTGGGAGAAAATTGACATCTACAGCTCATGATGACATTAATAACACAAGAGTCATCTGCTCTAGCGCCGCCGCAGTGTTAGACCAGTTTTTCTGACCTGTCCAACCTGTTCCAAATATCGTGGAAACCCTCCACTCTCCCACCCACCCAGTATCTTCTGACTCATTCATTCATTCATTCATCACGTTACTAGTTTACGTTCTTTCTACTCCTTTGTCCTCAGCTGTTGCCAGGCAACACTTGCCATTAACATATCCAAACTGATATTGTTCAATAGTCAGTTAATGGACTGTTAAATATAGCTCTTAAAAGCAGCATAGACTAATTCTATTCAAACTATACATAATAAAAGTATTTTTAGCGGTTTATAGCTACATTGCGACTCCAGCTAATTATAATAATCCATTACACTCTCTTTTTAGAGGGAAAAATACCATATTGACTGTAATACAGTACGACATTTAGAATCCTGCACATCAATAGCATATAGGTGAAGAGATTTTAGTTTGAATGTACTACGTCACAGGCTCTTTACTGTGGTTTTTTAAAGTGAATCTTTTTCCGCTTGCAGTATTTGGCAAAGAGCCATGTGGGAAATCTGTCCTGGGAAATGATGGAACTCACACAGAATTAATAAGGCAAAAAAAAAAAAAAGTTTAAACTTTTTAATGGGCGGCTCTTTTTAATTTCTGACAGACTTGACTGTATGATAAGAGAGAAAACAAATGTGAACACTGTAAACATAAACAGAGCAACATGAGACATGCTGTATGTAGGATTTTTCCTTTCATGGTAAACCAATTATCCCCAGCAGGAAACGCACTGCCAATACATACATTTAGCATAAAAGTAAATAAGTGAGCGCTAATTGCCAGTGGAAATGCAAATGTGCATTATAAAGCAGCTTCCCTGCGTTTACTCCCGCTAATGTGAACATGGATCAGAAGGCAGAAAAAAGCAGAGACGGCTGCTGTTTGATTCCTGCTTAATGCACCGTGGATCTGACTTCCTCAGTCGCGCTGCCTCAGCTGGGCTTCCTCACCTCCGGGGTCGGCCAGTCGAACGCTGCCAGAGGTTGACATGTGGCTCGTAATACAGTTCCTGCCAAATGCTCGCAGTCATTTAGTGGATTTCAGTGGATTCTGTGGCATGATTTCCTCCTCATGTAGCGTTATGTGAACAGATTGATCTGCCGGTCACGAATCACTGAATAACACGAGTGTGAATCTGATTATCGGGTGCATGATGATTGCATTAAGGGCGCTACTTTAAGCATGTTCTACCATCTGCTTATGAAAAAAAAAAAACTTGCTGGAACATCTCATTTCAGAAACATCTCTGTACTCACAGAAGTTTGTTTGTCACAACAGGTGGAACAACCTGCAAGAGCAGGTTTCCTGTCATCTACAGTGTGTGCAATCATCCTCTGATTTATGCATATTTAAGCGTATGTCTGGTGAAATTCTGTGTTTTTCTTACAGTCCACAAATCCCATTAAAAGAAGAAACCCAGCAACAAATTAATCCTATCAACAAGTAAAGTTGGTGTATATCCAAAGCCTGATTTATCTTCAATGAGCCACACCAGATTACTTTTTATAGTAACATAATCTTGTTGTTAATTAAACTCTGCCAAGTTCCAAAAACACTGATACTGAACATATCAGTGAAACAGTCGCTGCAACAGTCTTCTTTTTTATTCGTATTAATTCATATTAAAATATTTAGTCTTGCAGTTTCTAGTTGTAGTTCTAATACTTGGTGAAGGTGGAGGGGAGATGTCGGTGTGGTGGAAGGAAGTCAGACACAGTGTGTTAATTATAATTTCACCGCTTAAAGTTCTGTTTAAAAAAAGAATCCTCAGCTTTATTTAAGGGTTTTACAGCTGTGAGGCAAAAATGAACAACCTTGGGCTCTGTGGATATTAGAAACTTGAGAGAATTATGAAGTACCCCTGGTATAAAAAAGTGCCAGTGCTGCTTGTGGTGTTATGCTGTTAGCTTCAGATTGCTCCTGTGAGCTCATATTAGCTAATGAAAACTCCCAGTAGTTCTATATATGTCTGTTTAGCTCCAGATAGCTTCAGGTAGCTCCTGATCTCTCCTGTTAACTCTTTAAATCTTCTGTTCTCCTGTTGACTCCAGTCGTCTCTGGTTAGTCCCAGTTAGCGTCTTTTAATAACCAACTAGCACCTTTTAGCTTCTGCAGCCGTCTGTTAGCTCGTATTAGCGACAGTTGGTGTCTTTGAACTCCAGATAGCTTCTGTTAGCTCACCAGGGCTCTTGTTGGCTCTTCACATTGCTTGAATAAAAGTGAGATTAGGAAACGTTAGAAATGTAAATTACAGAGTAGATTACAACATCATAACAATTAGTCAGTGAAAGAGAAATAATTAAACCTCAAATACAACCAGCACCATGATGCTGTGCCATTTGAGCTGTAATAGTCCTAGGAAGTCTCTTCATTGAATGTGCAAAGCTCTGCAACCTTCTAAAAATGGCGACGACTGTCTGTGTCAAGCCACTGGTGCTCAAGCTGTGGTTGGGTGTCTTCAGCTCATCCTCCACAGTCTGAAGTCTTGGGCTAGCAGTTCTCCGTTAGATATGATCCCTGGCTACAAGAAGCCTGGGATTTTCCTGAGGCTTTTGTGTAGTTTGGCGAGGCGGCTCTCTGTGATCCTCCAGCATACTGAATCACACAGTAGGGGGGACGCAGCACAGCTCCGGTATCGCCTCAGCTCAGTGTGGCTGCTCTGCTGTGTTGACCTCCAGATGCTGCTCATGCTGCAGAAGGCAGTTGTTGCTTTGTTGAGCCTGCTTTTCGTGAACCAGGGCCATTATCTCATCTGACTGCAGAGCCCACATATGTACAACTGTCAGTCACTGGTAATTTAAAGATCTTGACCTCAGTTTTAAGCAAAACACCAGCTAGTGTTGTAGAGAGACTTCATCTGATGCCTCTCGACTCATTTTGTTGTACAGTATTTCCCCAAAAGACTTTTTGTTGCCTAACCTTAACCACAGACAGGAGTCAAGATGCAGCCTAGTGCTTTGCAAACCCTCCATCCACCCCGACCACCTCCCTGCAAGTCGATGCGGTTCATAAATGTAGCGCTTCATTGAGTCAGGAATGATTACTTCTGCCCATAATCCAGGTAGCGATAGTGTTTTCTGTCACAACGTAATGGGAAAATAATTTAGTACCTTATAAATGTCTTTTCAAGGACAGTGAGTCGTAATCCCACATAAAGTGTCCTGCTGCCAGAAGTAGAGCACCGAATGTGTGCTGAAAATAGTGCCCAGCAAATCAAT